CATTGATTATAATTACTCTACCATGTTTGAGGTATGTATTATTAGTCAGTATCCGCTTGGAATGGTCGCCGGTCCATTCTGGGTTCTAGTGGCCTTAGTCTGCCCACTAGAGTGTGCACATGGTGTCCGGCATTTTATGCTGGCAGATGTTCAGTTATCAGTCAGGTGATGATTATCACAATATCAGTATCAGATCATGATTATTCAATACCGGTTTCAGTTTCAGTTCAGTATCAGTTCAGTTATATATGCCAGGATCATGATATTGTTATTATTTTCACTGTTTTACTTTAGTGTGAGTTTCTGCGGAGCACAGTGTTTTAGTGCTCACGCCCCCACGTAATTCATGTTTTTCAGGTTACAGAGTCGGGGACGAGGAGTGAGCTGACGAGCTGTTTAGGATATTTGTTTATATGTACATATTAGGTTTTGGCTACGCTACTATTCCGCTACGGTTTTCAGTACTTTAACTCAGCTTTTGATCCGACACTAGTCGGTTAATATGTTTATAACCGTTTTTATTATCAGATTAAAATTTAACGGTTTTCAACTAAAAGTCATATTTTACGGTAACACTCCGAAACAGTTTTCGCAAAAAGAAATATTTTATGTATTTTAATTAGAAAGTTTGCGAAAAAGCGTACTCTGATTTCAGTAAATAGCGGGGTGACAGATATTACACTTTTGCCCTTTATGAATGAGAATCATGTTAGATTAAACAAGTTCTACGTTCTGTTGTTTTACATTAGATAGGGTGGGTCGTCATCGGGCGAACCGAGATCACTCTATCAATTATCCGCGAAACAAAAATAATGGTTCACAATTAAAATAGACATGAACACCCCATCGTGAACAGTTGTAGTGTCAACGGTACAGTTTGTCTTGATTGATTAGTTGCACTAGTACATTTATGTATTGAACATGATTCCAAAGAGGAGCAGCTCGTTTATACTGATCGTCGTAAACGAACTAGGCCTCGGTTAATTACTGCGTTCTCTTAACCCGTAAGATATTAAATAGACATATACATGCAGTATTTATTGCTTTGATTCACACGAGTGAGGTTTAGTGAACTGGACCAATACCCACTGTCTTGGGTAATAGTATTTAATGTATGATGTGCTATTAGAATATTTACGGTTACCATGTACGTTTAGTTTGATGATGTCCCCAGAGTGAGTTCATGAAGGATTATTATCCTAAACACTGCAGGTGGATTGAATTCCGGCATAGTAAGAATGTGATGAACAAGCGCTAGTTTCGGTGAAATAATAATAAATTAATTAATTCTTGTTTGTCAGTAATCGAATTAATTAATGAACATTATATCTTAAACATGAGGAGATAATCCGAGAAATTATTATTGGATTCTCAATTGTAAAATGAGTTAGAAAAAAGGAGTGCAATAATTTTATGTTGGTGGTCCATTAATATTATTTAATTAATTAGAGTAGTGAGTTTGGCTCATAAGTATTTTAATTAATCAAGGAGCTCTATTCCTAGTCTCCTAAGGGTCTCTATTGTAGCTCTATAAATACATCATTAAACTCATGGGAGGAGAACAGATAATACACAATTCACGTGCATCGTCTTCCCCCTCCCCTCTCTCATTCGATCTTTATCTTCTTCTTGTTGCTCTACTGATATAAATTGAATGGTGTTTGAGATATACAGTAGAAGAACCCGTATTTTATTGAGATACATATTTATAATCAACCCCGGAGATCAACCCGCGATGATCCAGACTCGCCGGACCGCCGACCCGATGAGCCCCATTCGTCGCGACCCAACCGGTAGCCAGCCGCGAGTCTTCGGAGCCAGACGTGAGCCGCACGCGCCCCCTGGCAGCCCCGCGACGCGCCCTCCGTGAGCCCACGCGCCCCCGCGTCCCGACATTCCCGCGTGGCGATCCGACACACCCCACCCGATTGCGAGCCAGCCGTTCTGTTCGTGATCCAATCCAGTTTGTGTGTTTATCCCGGTCATCCATTTGAAGATCAACCAGATCACAATTAATTTTAAGCCGTAAGTTTTTTACATCAAACCTTTAAATTCGCTACGCATAGGTTTACGTTTATTGTTGAGTTTGTGATTTGTACACAACGAGATCCTCACAAATCCCAACAAGTGGTATCAGAGCACTTGGTTAATTCGTTTTGTACAAAGTTTGAATTTTTTACGGCTTTATTTGACAAGATGTTCAAACCAAGCCATATATTGGATTATATTCGCATATCTTGGTTTTGCAGGAATTAGTTTAATCCATTATTATGGTCGATTATGTGTTTGATGAATGTTATTGAATGTGATGTATGGGTTTTAAATTTGTTTTTAAAGCCTCGGACATGTCGATGAATTTATGGATGAATGTTTGTAATAAATATTCGCCTGGGGGTTGACCAGATAGATTTAGTTATTTGTTTAGAAAACATGTACATCCATTCGTTGGATCTAGGATCGGATTATGTAATTTTAATTATATTTTCATTTTGTGATCGTAGATTGATGACCGGGAGATCACAAGAGATCAACGAACCTCGAAAGTCCAACTGGACCGGAGCCCGAAAGGAAGGCGTGAACTCGTGCAGCAAAAAAAAAAAAAAATCCGACCACCGGCGGCGGCGGGCGGCGGCTGAAGGTGGAGAGGTTTACTTGTTGTAAAAACATTACAATATCAACCAGGAATCTACTGCAGTAGGAGTTCTAGTTGAATAGGTAAAGAATATACAATGTTTCCTTATTTATGGGGACTCAATATTTAATGGCCATAATAGTGGATTTATTTATTTAAATTTATTATGTGCATTAAATATTATTTATTTATTTATGCATGTTAATTAATAATTATTTTTGCATGAGATTAATTTAGAAGTGCATATTTAGTTATGCATGTTATATTTTTTTGCATTAACATAGAATTAATTTAGAATTGCTTAAATATTTAAATAGGAATAATCTACATTTAAATTATACTAAGTTTGAGAAGAGATTTTAAATTACAGTTAGTTGTAAAATTCTTAAGGCATTCATTTCTAATTTTTCGATAAATCAATTAATTGGGGTATGGGCTCCCCCTCGGGTGACATATTAATTGTAGGTAAGTACCAGGACAAATTTCTAATTGGACAATTAAAAGAATTCTTATGAGAGCGTATGAGCTTCCCGTCAGATGACGTATAACCGAATTTGGTGAACTTAGGATCGAGAAATGGGATTCACTTAGAATGCGATTAAATTTATTAACCCCCATCGGGGTCCCTGAATTCTATTGCATGGCCAAATGGAGACCAACTATTAATTTCGTTTGTCATGAATTTAGTTTTGACTTTTGAAAATTAATGGGTCTTTGAAAACACTTCCTTTGCGAATGTTGAGTTGTGTAGGGTTACCCTCATATCATTCTTTAACTTTCGGTGTTTTGAGATGTCGGTGAATTTAAGTTAATATTATTTTTAGGATGTCTATATTAGCAGTTAAATTCAATGTGTTTAATATGTAAATTATTTCATGATTCTCAGACTATATTCATCAATAGTGTACACTTTTTCCCTTGGCTGAGGTTTTGTCCCATTGGGTTTTCCTAGCAAGGTTTTTAATGAGACAACAGGGATGGCGTATTCACATGAATAGTGTACTCTTTTTCCTTCATTAAAATTTTTCTCACTGGGTTTTTCCTTATAAGATTTTAACGAGCCATATTCATGTCGTAATGAGGACTACTGAATAACTGATATGATTCCTCATGATGATGAGAAACGACTGGAGTAGTTGTACTCTTTTTCCTTCGATCAAGTTTTTTCCCACTGGGTTTTCTTGACAAGGTTTTAACGAGGCAGCACGTAGATACTCCATTAAAGATGATCTATTTGAGGGGGAGTAATGTTGTGATTCCACAATGCTCAGGTTTTGTCCCACCGGGTGTTCCTGAGCAAGCAATGTTATAATTTCAAGATGATTAGGTTTGGGAAAAAATCTTTTTCACCCCATAACAAAGACACATTAAGTTTTTCACACCGCCCAATAAAAAGCTAAGTTTTTCACCCCAGAAAGTGCGAAGGTTATGCGAAAACTGTCGTATATTCATCGCATAATTGTCCATGTGCGAAGGTTATGCGAAAAACTGTCGCATAACTGTCGCATATCAATTGCATAACAGTCGCATATTCATCGCACAATGCCTTCGCACAATTATGCAATTGATATGCGAAAGTTTTTTGCATAACTGTCGCATAACTGTCGCATATCAATTGCATAACTGTCGCATATTTATCGCACAATGCCTTTTGCACAATTATGCACTTGATATGTGACAGTTATGCGACAGTTTTTCGCATATTCTTCGCATATGGACAATTATGCGATGAATATGCGACAGTTTTCGCATAACTTTCGCACTTTCTGGGGTAAAAAACTTAGCTTTTTATTGGACGGTGTGAAAAACTTAACAAGACTTCAAAACGGGGTGAAAATAGATATTTTCACATTAGATTTTGTCCCACCAAGTTTTCCTGATATACTGAAGCACCAGTGCCGATGGCTAAAAAATACACTTCAAGACATTCAGATTGGGTTTTGTTCAAATCAGTTAAAATATGTTTAGAAATAATCATTCAAGGGAGAGTGTTGTGAGATATTTATTATAAAATAATAGATACGAATGACTATTTTGTCCCCAATGTAATTGTATTATTATGGTTGTGCCATCAGAAGTTTCCTATGAATATGAGTTTCAGTTATAATGAAAATCATACCTAAGAAAAACATTTTCTCTATTAACTCTCTTTCTCTCTAGTTTTATAACATAAAAGTATTTGTAGATAATGTTTTAATATAGATGTAAATTTATATCAGAACAGGCCGAAAGCACTCCAGCCCAGTATCATTTAAATCAGGGTACAAAGGCCCACTAAACCTGTTGGCTTTCTCACTCACTCCATCTGCACAATTCTGCCGCAGTAAGTTATAGCGACCGAGGAAAAATCCCTAAAAATCAAGCAATAATGCAAAGCTTGTTCTCGCGTAATCTATGGCGTGAAATCGGAGCTGCCAAATACTCGTTTACTGGAGCTTCTTCTGTTTCCGGCGTCGGTTATGGCCGAAGGTGGTACGGGCTGATACCGATGGTGATTGAGCATTCGTCACGAGGGGAGCGGGCCTACGACATTTTCTCGCGCTTGTTGAAGGAGCGCATCATTTGCATCAATGGTCCCATCTCCGACGATACCTCCCACGTTGTTGTTGCGCAGCTCCTCTTTCTCGAGTCTGAGAATCCCTCCAAACCTATTCATATGTACCTCAATTCGCCAGGCGGCGCCGTAACTGCTGGTAGGTTGTGTTTTTCAATTGTTTGTTTTTGACTCTACATTCCGATTTCAAGATTTCTCTGTTTTTTTTCACATCTTCACTACATTCTAAATTTATACTGTTGTTTTAAATGTTCTGAATAATCTAACAAGCTAAAAGCATTGAGGGTCATCTTCCCCTTGATTGTTTAGATGCTGAAGACAATGAACCATAGGGAGTTGTAGTTGCAAGTTTACTCTATTCCATCGTGTTTAGTGATGGACTGATGGTTCATTCTTTGGTGTGTTTTACGTACGTCTTATTCAGGCAATCAGGAGTGTTTGTTTTTGCACTTGCCGATCATTCTAAAATTAGTTTCTTTTTGGTACTTATATTGAAGGTCCCTAAAATGCAGAAAAATGTGAAACGTGACATAAAATATTACAACATTTGATGTGACATACAGCATAAACTGAATTTAATTTACTAATGAACACACAATGGAAGAACTTAATAATACACACGAGCCTTGATACTACACAGAAAATACAAGCATGAACAATAAAACACAAGAAGATTTAACTTTTTTGCACAAGTATAAAAATACTCGTTCCTCGCCCTTAAGGCGAAAATATCATTAATGAAAAGTTTTGCAATACAAAATAAAACAAGATAAAACTCCCTTTTTAGATCTTGCCTCATTCAACTCTCCAATAACTGTTAATGAGAGAATACTAAAACATCAGCACATCCCGTAAAGCCTAAGATCTGTTAAGACGGGTGGGCAACCAGAAAAGATTCTTCCACTTCCTCTTGTAGTTAGTCCTATTACATGGTTGTGGCAAGCAGATTCAGTTTTTATCTTTAGTCACCATTTCAAGCTGCATCACCTTTAGCCGGTCAACAATTGCCTTTGTGAAACTTCTTTAATAAGCCAGGGTCTAATCTCCAAACAATGCTGTATTTATTATCCACCAGATGGAATTCCCCATGCATCACTTCCTTCATCATAGAACTTCATTTATAAAACCTGAATATTCAGATGATTTAACACTCTTTTTGAAGTGAAATTTCTGTAAAGGATTCTCTGTTTCTGCAGCTCTACCAATGTGCAATATATGTGTTCATTTTGTTTTACTTGGTATGCAATTCTTATTTTTACAGTATTAAGAAAGACATTCCTATAAATTTTACTACATCATTTAAATAGTGAAAATTCAGTAAATAGTTTTATTTCTGCAACTCTACCAACTTGCAATAGATGTTGTCATTTGGCTTTATTTGATGTTCAATTCTTATTAAGGAAAAGACGTTCCTATTAAATTTTTTGTCGACATATAATTGATGTATATACTTTATGAGACTCTTTCACTGAGCTTTTAGTTATTTACCATTTTCTGCAGGTCTTGCTATCTACGACACAATGCAGTACATCCGATCTCCAATAAATACGATTTGTCTCGGTCAAGCTGCATCAATGGCTTCTCTCCTCCTGGCTGCTGGTGCTAAGGGCGAGAGGCGGGCCCTTCCGAATGCTACTATTATGATACATCAGCCTTCTGGTGGGTACAGCGGGCAAGCTAAGGATTTGAGCATCCACACGAAGCAGATTATTCGTGTTTGGGATGCATTGAATGATCTTTACTGCAAGCACACTGGTCAGCCTCTTGATATTGTTCAGAAGAATATGGATCGTGATTATTTCATGACTCCTCAAGAAGCAAAAGAATTTGGGATTATAGATGAGGTCATAGACGAGAGACCAATAACCCTCGTGGCCGATGCAGTAGCAGAGGAGAACAAAGATAAAAGTTCGAGCTAGATGCCCAAGTAAGATATATAATAAATCCCGTATCTTATTCCATTTCTTGCTTATCTTTTGCTGTTATGGAAAATTTCAGTTTTATTTATTTCTTGTTATTGATTCGACTATGTTATGCATGAACACGTTTATGAATGGTATGCGTAGAACTTTCCTTTTGACGAAATCTTTCTCCATTCTGCATTTGGTGTGCTCCTGAGCTGGTACTAGTAAGAGTGGATGGATGTGTGGAAAGGGCGTATGGGCCTTAGCCCGACTCTCCCTCTCCCGGTGGATGAGCATCTTTTCATAGGGGAAGGGTTCAATTTGGTCTGATCTTTTCATATGGGATTCAATTTGGTCTGTTTTTTTATGGCTTTTCAGGGTCCACCAAGGACTCAATTTGAATAAATTAAACATGCCCTACTTTTGTTTTCATCTTTACTTGCAATGTTTGTTTTTTAATATTTGGATCACATGATGAAGCTCGTGGTTGCATTGGACTAGAAACAAAAATGGCAATTCTGAGTAATGGGATATGCTATGGTAACATAAAATTTTTACTAATACACATTTTCAACTAGAGATATGTGAAGTTAGATAGAGTCCAACATTAACCTAATTGAGCAAGGATATATTTATTATTTGGGCAACGTCACTAGTGGCATAAATTCTGCTTTACTCTCTACTCTACTATAGGCAAAAATCTGCAGTCGATGAAATTGACCCAATGCTCGGTAACGCCCGATTTTTTCTCATATCAACAGTTATACCCATGGGTAGAGATTGGTACTGAAATATACTCCCTCCTATTTTTTTTTTAAATGTCATCCTAGCTTCATCAACTATTTGTCAAATAAATGTCGTTTTGGATCTTTTTTACATATTTTTCTATTATTACCCTCATTTAGCTAATAAATACATTATGTATTTTCATATTCACTCTTCACTTTTTCTCAAAACATTCATCTCTATCTTCATCTTCATTAAATAAGGTTATTATTGACAAAAAAAATATTCTTAAATAACGTGCAACTTCTCAAAACGACATATATTAAAAATAGGAGGTAGTATGTATTTTTCTTGGGTGAATGTTTTTGTTAAACATAGAGTTGCCCAAGAGCTCACCTAACTATCATATCAATCATATACAAATATTATTTTACTATTTAATACTATACAGAAACTTAGACATATATGGATATCTGGCATCAAGAACATAGTAATTTCCCGGTGATGATAATACACATTTTATCATATTAGGATGAAAGAGACAAAAAGATAGAGAAAGTAGAGGGAGTGTTGACCTCTTGGAATCATTGGAAACCTTAAAGTTGGCTTATGTATAGCTTCATTGAATATACGAGAATCATGAGTAGATTCACCCCATCCCACCCAAACAAAGGTGAATCGCATGTCAAATGAGCATGTAACAACAACACCATTTCTCCCGCGACAAGGTAATTTTTCTGCAGTTGGGACGACAACATCAACATGTGTTCCATCAATTGTACCAATACATCCCTTTTTATTAATCAAAAAATAAATAAATAAAATCCAAGTAATAATAAAAAAATCCAACCTTCTCCCATGAAATATTTATAGATTCATGATGAATATCACCTTGAAGTGAGGTCAATATTTAGGATTGCTATGTACATATCTTGGGATTTCTTCAATTGGTGGTGGAACAATGATGTCCATGAAAAATTTTTAAAGAGCTTGTAACACTACGACGTTGTATGGTAGACCAATAAACTAGCTATAATTGATTAGTTTATAAGCTCTTTGTATTTAAATAAGCTCCGTTTGGTAGGATGAGCTTATTTAAAAAGCTCGAGCTTATTTGATAAGCTTCTTTTGGTAGTTTTTCAAATAAGTTCGTTGAAATTTTTATTTCAGCTAGCTTATCAACTAATTTTACCAAACACTTTTATCATATAAGTTCGCTTTTCAGCTATAAGTCATTAGCTATAAGCTATAAGCTCGAAAATAACTAATAAGCTATAAGCTAGCTTATCAGTTACTTTTACCAAACATAGCCTACATTGAAATGACGGCTTATAGTTTATCCCGAATGTTGAAAGCGTTCTTGTAACATTCGATTTCTTTCGTTTTGCTCAATAGTCATTAGAAAGATAGCTAATTCTTCTTTAGCGCTCACCTCTCTACTATCTCTAAGCAAATTTCTTTCTCGGAGTAGGGATGTGAGCCTTAAAAAAGACATGTTTTTCCATTCTAAACAATTCATGGAACCTTTTATGATGGAAATCTGTGTCAATTATACATCCTTCGCTATATGATTCTCGTAATAAGAAATAATTCTCCCAACTATAACACCAATTAATGCCACCTTTGCGACATCTTTTAATTTAGTAGATAATTCTCCCAACTATAACACCAACTAATGCCACCTTTGCCACATCTTTTAATTTAGTAGATTCATCATACTCGTCGTTGTCCATGATAACCTAGAATGTAAATACAACAATATAAAAATTAGCTGTAAAAAGTAATTGGAGAATGGAAGATACAACAAATACTCCATTCAAAACAAGTAATAATCAGCACAAGTGCAACTTTTTATAAATTGAAATGACACAAGAAAATAGACACGGATGAAAGAAAGTTTTTTATTTTTATTTTTTGAACACAGAAAAAAAAAAATGGAAATGAATGTTAAATGGGCTCTCAATTAGTTTTTACTTCAAAGTTTTTTATTTTTATTATTTGAACACAGAAAAAAAAAAATATGGAAATGAATGTTAAATGGGCTCTCAATTAGTTTTTACTTCTCTCCATAATGGACTTATTCAGAAGGGTAATTTGCACTTCTACGTTAAGGATTTTAAAATAATTGCTTAAATACAAAAACGAAAACTTATTTGCAAGTATACCTATGTTAACATAATTATTTGGATAGCTATAATATAACTGTCAAACAGATAACAAAGAATTACCGTCCAAGAATCCCGCAACTGACGAGATTCTTTCATTAATAAAAAAAATAAAAGAAAAAAGAAAACTTTGAACTAAACAAGAGCATCGCCGTCCCGACCATCACGAGCAACGTTGTTCCATCACGAGAAGCGTCGATCACGAGCAGCGTCGTCCATTTTCTAAGTAATGAGATGGTGGAGAACACAACATATACATAAAATATACAGAATATAAACAGTATATATACAAAAAGTATACAATATATATACCTAGGACCACGCCGATCCTTATGATTTTCAATTCAAATCTTTCGTACAAAAAATTCAAACTATACACACTCTAATAGTGTGCATACAAAAATATACAAATAATATATATACGAAAAATATACAGTATATATACCTGCAACTACAGAAATAATAATAAAAAAAAGTATAAATATACTACATATATACAACATATATACCGTCTGGTCTGGTCCTTCTCTCAACTAAAACCTAACAACAAAATTCTCCGATCATCCTTCGTCTCCTCAAGCCGCCTTGGACAAACACCGTCGGTGGAGATGACGGATCTGCGAGTAGGGATCCAGACCATACACACGTTGGACCTTGGAACGGGATGAGGTTGAGCGGGATGAAGTTGCTGAATTTCAGGAATCCAGTGGGGCCGAGGCCGTCTAGAGAGACGACGACCACGACGGAGGCGACAATGTAGCAGAATACACAAGAAGTCGTCAGGGCAGGCGTCAACGGGGAGCACCCAGAGGAGAAGACAATTTAATGATGAAGGAGAGAGAATTGGAGAGAGACAACTGAAAAAAGAGGTAGGTTCGTGAATAATATCCCACGTTTAATAAAACCAACAGTTACAAAATAATTAATTATTGAAACATCATGTATATAAGCAAATATTTTGTACATATCCTCCAAATCTGCTAATAAAAATTATATCATGGTAGATATACAAATACTTTTAAATTAGTTCGACCCTGGCATAATTTTCTCTGTTCAGAAGTGACTTTTTCAATAGGTCCATTTAATATAAACTACCAAACAACATTAAAAAAAAAAAAAAAATCTCAAATGGACTTTTAAGTCTAAATTCATCTTCATTGGTAAAATGTAGTTGTAGTAAATTACACTTTGTATTAACGAATTTAGCAATAAATACACTTTTTATCCTACAATGCGCAATGTAATCATATATGTAGTGATGAGGTGGACATAATTAATGTATATAATGTAGAGAATAATGTGGTCCATCTACATTCTCTTTCACATTTTTAATCAACCAATTGAGAGATTAGAGAGAAATATTATTACCATTTTCAAAATATCTAATTTTTTTTTTATGTTTCTTATTTATAACTTTTTTATTTTTGTCAAGTGGACAATATTATGTTTGATCACATTGTGCTTTGTAGATTTAAAGTTGTGAACTTAACAATCGGTTTAATTTGTTGGTTAAACGAAATAACAAAATTAATTTAAATAAATTATATTATTTATTGTAAAATAATTTTAGTTTTTAATATTGCGTTATTTAATATTTTATATTATATCTTGATAAAACATAGTATATATGTAAACGAAATATTATGCGCAATCTAATAGTTTTTAAGGTGCAATTCGTTCAATACTATGGTGCACGGTGTCGGTCTATATAGTTCATATGGAACCAAACGATATTTTTTCTCAAAACAAATTGAAGTTGAACATATTAATCAGTTTATTCGGTTCAGTTAACCGAATTATACTAAATAATAAAAAAAGCTGATATTACGATTATGTTTAATATTTTAATTTAATTTATTACTTTTACATTATTTCTGATTAAAAAATAAAATAAAATTCGGTTGGTTTTGCTCTATGTTATGCAATCTGATAGTCGCGATAAAGTGCAACACTTTGTTTTATAAAGTGCGTAACTTTATATTATAAAGTGCAACATGATATTTTATAAAAGGCATTGACCTACTGTAATTTTGTTACATTAGAATGCTTGTGTTTTATGTGAACAAATGATCTGATACATGTTAAAGTATTATGTAGATCCATTTTCTATATTTTTTTTTTTGT